TTCTAAGTGCAGTCCGTTGTTGAGGTGTTTGAAATCTCTTTACCTGGTTTATTGTGCATTTTTATCTTTGTCCATGCTATCTTTCAGTAAAATAGAACTTCTTCATTTTCAGTACTCAAATTCATCAATATTTTATCTTTTGAGTTATATTTGGAGATAATTTTAAGAAGCCTCTTTCTCTTCCGCAGAGATATTCTCCAACATAGTCTTCTGTTAGCTCTACCTTTTCATATTTAAGTTATAAAACTATTTGGACGTTACATTTCTGTATGGTGAATATGGTATTAAAACCCAGTTTCACTTTTACATACTATGTTTAGGATACATTTTTTTTGTACCTTAATAAATGATGCTAAAATGTTGATTGGAATTACAGAGAATTTATAGACTAATTTTGGGGAAATTCCCATCTTTATGTTAAATTGTCCCACTCACAAGTCTTGGAATATTCTTCCATATCTTTCAAATTTTGGTTTGGGTACTTTCAATTAATCAACCAGCAAGATTTAAAAATTGACATGATATAAAGAAAGTTGACTTGGTTGATGTGATCAAATTTGTCACGAGAAAAAAAAAAACATTACACTGATTAACTCTATAGGTTAATTATATAGATGTGAAATCAACACATTAACCCTTTTAAGACCTATTTTTTGTAGTTCACTTTTACATATTTTCTTTAAAACTATAATATACCTGTATTAGCTAGATTTTAAATAGCTTTTTAACTCAACGATTTTTTTTTATTTTATCATTGAAACATGATAAATGAACAGCTTTTGTGAAAATAATTACTATTTATTTGACTACAAATAGGATTTTTTATCGTAGGTCATATTCTTTAGGATACCTTTATATTTTTGGAAGTGATCTTTATGTTAGCGTTGAGTTTTGGTAGCATTGATGCAAAAATCAATCACACTTCAATTTGAAACTGTGAAAATAGTGACAGCCATTTTCATACCCAAAAACAGTGTGTGACAATTTCAGGCTTAGTTTTGGCAGCTCTTACTTTGAAAACCTAAAATCTATTTTGGTAAGCGCTATTGAAGATCAACTATCTAAGGAAGAGAGGATTTTGAAAAGGAATTATTTTCACATTTGAGTATGATAAAATCCTCTATGTTGACACCCTTCAAAGACCACCAGGAACCCACCTATAGTGAAGAAGATGGTTTAATTACTCCATGGCACTGAAGGACCACTGCACCATGGGGACCCTGGAGTAGCACATTATATGTCTGTCCTATCACGGGATTTGGACTTCAGTTGGGGGTTTTGGGAGAGGGTCTAAGGAAGGATGGGTGTCCTTTAGATTGGATGCTGGGACAATTCTGTGACTGGATAAAGAAGTCATTTATTTAGCAAGAGGGGGGATGTTTGGTATTTTAAGTTGTACAGTGACCTTTTACTTTTTCGTGTTTAGTAAAATTATCAAGTAGTCTTGCTTTTGTCTCATTTTATCATGGTCTCAGAAATCTTGTCTCAATCTGGTATTCTATAAGATTGTGTACGTACAATAGAACAAAAACCCCAGTTGGTGAATGTCAGATCAGCTCTGGACATCAAAGACTTCCCTCTCTCTCTCCCTCCTTCTTTTCTTTCCTCCCTCCCTCCCTCCCTCTGTCACCCACAAGTAATTAAAATTGTTTGTAAAATATATGCTTAATTTGGGAATTTTCTTTTTATTTTTCCCAGTCACCCAGACAATGACTTAAAGATGTGAGAAATTGCCACTTAGAAAAAAACAAACAAACAAAAAAAAACACACACACACACGAAACATACTTTCACATTGTGGCTTTGCCACAGATAACCTTGCCAATGATTTTAAGTTTCTTAATTGTCGTCTCACTTTGAAATAGCCATCTCCTCTGTTGCCTGGCCCGTGGAAGCCGCCCTAATCTTTTTTTTTTTTTTTTTTAAGCTGAGCCATCCTGCCACCTGTTGGCAGCTCAGTGGCTGCTCAGCTTGGGCCGGGACTCGAACTGCTGTTGCTCAGAGCTCACACTTTTGAGCGAGCTCTTAACCAACTGAGCCAGTCAGCCAGCCCTGAAGCTGACCTAATCTTGTCTGTACATTCAAAGCAGATACCTTTTGCCTGGCCTCTCAGTTCATTCTTTTATTCCCTGGCAGTGAGTCCTTCCTCCACAGAGGAGGCAGGGTGATCTTTTCAAAACTGTTAAGTTGTAAGTGCAAAACTCCTCTCTGAAAGCCTTCCTCTACCCACTGCAAATAAAGTAACCCCCAGACTTATTATGGCCGCCAGGCCCCATAGGACCTCTTCGTATCTCTGTGACTTCATCATGGCTTTCCCTTTCCTTTTGCAGCCATATCTGGCTGGTCTTTTTGTTCTTGGAAAATCAAATTCATTCTTGCTTTATGTCCCTTGCTCTCACTATTTCCCTTACCTGGAATCATCAATCTTTGCATGGCTGGCTCTTTACCCTTTATTCCATAGAAATCACACACATTTCCCTGTTTATAAATGATCTCTATCTAAATTAGCTTCATCCACGCCATCTTAACCTTGTTTTCTGTTAGTTGGAGCACTTAGCACTATCTGAAGTTAATTCATTTATTCTATTGCATGGCTCTCCATGCCCGCCCTACTTCTCTCCCCACTTCGCACATACGTGTAAGCTCCAGGTGGTGGAAACTTGTACATTTCTAAGTGCCCAGCCCCCAGTGAAGTACTAGCAGAAAATAGGTTTGTTACAAATACCTGTCTGTTTAGCAAATGAATACATTTATGAATGAGTAAATGAACAAACAAGCAAATGAGTGATATATTTGAGACATAACTTTATGTCTCTTGACTATTATCAAGAGAAACACGTTAATTATTTAATTAAGATATAGGCATCTGAGAAAAATGTCAACCAGTTTCTCTGGAAATACTCCTTGAAATATTCAAGATTAATTCCTTGCTATAATTTTTTTTAAGCATCTATGTTAAAAGACTATGATTTAGATCGGATAGCATTATAATAATGTTTTCCTGGTGCTTAAAATAATATTTGGGTGCATTTCTTTGGAGTGATCCCAGTGTAAATATATTTTCATTAACTAATGCCACAAGCAAAGCAGAACTTTGGGAGAGGTGAGGTGGGTTGATAAATAGCCTGGTTGTTAGAAGTTCCATATAGTCATACTTTATTAATTTGGGGGCTATATATGTAAAATATATGTGGCGTTATGCCTCTTAAGTTTGAAGTCATTTATTTTATTATTTGTTTTTCCTACTTTGTATTTCATGTTGCATTCAGTATTTGAATTTGACAATATTTTAAAGTAACTTTTATCTTTCCATTTAGTGCTCGCTTTGGCAGCACATATACTAAAATTATCTTTCCATTTAAAGAGTCAATTTCCTATTAACGCATAATACCAAGGCCTAATTCATACTGTGTGAATGTTGCTTTGCAGTGAAAGACAAACTGTGGTTTGAAGGTGTTAGGTAGAGGATCGAGCCAGCCTTGGGTTGGAATTCCTGTTCTAATTAATACTTCAGTATTAACTTGGCAAGTTTTTTAGTGTCTCTGTGTCTGTTTCTTCATCCACAGAATAGGCATGATATCTATGTACAGGACTGTTGAGAACTCACCTGATTTATTTCAGGTGTGGGGCACAGTATGTGACATTATCTGGTGTTGGATAAATTCTTTTCGTCTGTTTTCAGTCAGCAGCAAAAGGAGATGTTTGACTTTCCAAATACAAAAGATTATTATTCTCTGTAGATAATATAAGGGCCTAAAGTGTGTTAATATTTGACGTTTCTGTAATCAATGTTTGAAATTGTAAATTACAAAGAATCTCAACTACAATAATATTGATAGTAGCAAATATTTATTGAGTGTTTACCATGTGTTAGCCACTGTCTTAAATATCCTACATATGTGAACTACTTTAATCCTCATCACGAAGCCCATGCGATACTAATTATTTCCCCATTTTACAGATGAGTAAACCGAGGCACAGTGAGTTAAATTATAGAACACACAGGCACATATGGGAGTGAAACATTCTATACTTTATTATGCACTAAAACATTGATACTTCAACACCCCTTTCATTCTTCAGGTAGCCCGTAATACCCAAATAACTATATCTTGATGCACATAGACCTTCTTCCAATCCATGTCTTCTAGACTGGGAGGAACATTGGCCTCAGGACTTGACACTTCATCTCTTTGTGGGAAGGAAAGAAGACAAGAGAAGCATCCCAGTTTGAGAGCGAGTTCTACTAGAGAGCCATGCTGCACGGGCAGCTGTTGATGCCATGACTTTATTCTTTTTAATGTTGAGAAATCATGATTAATTGGGATGGTTTTAAAAACACAGCACACAGAAAATAATAGATTTTTTAAAGCATGATTATGTGTAGAAATGCTGAGATACCAGTTTTCACACAGACACATTTATTAGCAGGAAGGGTATAAAAGAACATCTCAATAAACCATATATACTCAACTGTTTTAAGAAGCATAATGTTTTACTGATACGTTCCAGTGACTATTAAGCCCATTATATAGCTTTGATCTTGTTTAGTTATCTTGCTTTTCATCCCTAGTTCTTCCATGTCATTTATCAGTTTTTTCAATATTTGAATGAAATCTTTGTTTATTTTAAGATGACTTCTTACAGTTTCTGGTTCAGTAAGTCTACAATAATTTCAGGCCATGAAGACCCCTACTGAAATTTGAAAGAGCATGAAGCCTTTGTAGGTGATCTTAAGATAACATTGTTCTTGGCCTTACGATGAACAGTATATGTATATCAGCTTTAAGACATAATAATTACTTTAAATTTTGTAAGGCTTTGGTTGTATTTAATCTCCTGGTTTGATGAAATGTAAGAGTACAAAGGAAATAAATTTTCCTTCTTAAAAATGTTTCATGAAGGTTTTCTCTCCCCATGGTACTTCCTGATGGCCTGATACTGTGTCATGTATAATTGGATTGACGCTCAGCCTGAATACTTCTTTTTCTTCTTTGCAGCATGGGGTAACCTTGGAAATGTTCTGAAGAGTCAGAGCAAAATTTCTGAAGCTGAAAGCGCCTACAGAAATGCTTTGTACTACCGTAGCAACATGGCTGACATGCTTTATAATTTGTGAGTATGCATCGCTTTCTCGGGTTTGTTGCATCTTTGAAACCTGCCATGAGAGGGACTATTTGACTTAACTGCTGCAAATGGAGATGATAATAGTTGTTTTATGAAAGTCTTAATCAATCATGCCTCAGAGACTGGTAAGTGGTTGGTATTTGTGATTGCTTTGTTTTGGGCCACATCATAGATCATCATGTGTATTGATGTGGCATGGCTGAATTTTTGAAGTACTATGCCATATAATACAAAAATTGGCTTAAATGCTATTTTTGAAAAAGTTTGTTCCAATAATACTTAGATGGGTTCATAAAATAAGCCTGCTATGTGTGATACTTCATGTAATTGATATCTTGATTATTAATAATAGATTTTTGTCCGCTATTAAAAATTGCTTGTGTTCAAGTACATATAGAACCATAGATTAAACGTGGGGAATTAGTGAATAAGATAATGGCTCTTCCCCCCCCCCCCTCCAAAGGTACTAATGATTAGGTTGGGATAATGTGATAATTTAAAATATTTGTGTGTGTTGGATTAGAAAAATCCCTAGGGCAAAAGTTGGTTCTGTTCTTTGAATGAGAAACCCTAGGTGGTACAGTGAGATGTGAGTGGATAAATGCAAATTAACTGAAATCCCTTTTTTGTTTAGTATTTATGACAGTCTTTTGTTTGTAAGTAATTGAAACCTAATCTAAACTTGTCTAAAAACACAAAGGAGATTTTACTAACTCCCATAACTGACAATTCCTGGGATTAACTAGATGGGGCACAATTAAACCCAGGCGCTTTATTTTGCTATAAGGATTTGTCTCCATTTTGTGGTTCTGGTTTCCTCAGGGTTCACTTAATTCTCTGTGCAACTCTGTATCAGTGGAAAAGATGGTCCCTGCACTGTTACATGCATATAATATTCTAAGTCCTCAATCTCAGAAGGAATTACTTGGGTGTCTCTATTAATCCTTGAAAAAGGTTTTGACTGACACTCCTGTGGTCATGTTTCATCTCTTGGATGAGACACTGGGCCATGTGGCAGGGGTTGTAAGACACCTCTGTTGGCAATGCCGCCAAAGTTGGAATGGAATACAGAACCGCTTCTCTGTAGGAAGAGACTAGGCAAACTAAGATGTCTACTGCGTCTGTTTAATGAATGTTATGTAATATTGATAGTATCAAACTAATCTGCCAGCTTTAATGTTTAGTATGTAGTTATCATCTGGTTACATCTAAATCTTTTGTACCGGCTAAACCTGAAAGCACAGATATAAAAAATAAAATAAAAATAAACAAAAAAATGTTAGCTATTTAAGGGAAAGCAGACAGGGTGAGCTCAATTTAATTTCCTGTTCATATATTTACCTTGTTTATAACTCATAGACTTTAACACTGAGATCTCAGCCTCATGGCCCATGGTCTAAATTAGATCAGCATGTGTTTTGTATTGACATGCACAGATTTAATTTTCCCTTTTTTTTACCTGGAATGTCTTCCAGTGGAGCATTCCTCCTGAGTTTGCAGAACTCCTCTAATACTTACCCTTTGCTGTGTTTTATGCTCTACCAAATAGATTATGAGTTTGCTTTGTTGTTTTGGTTTTTTTTACTTGAATGTATTTATCTAGATATTCCCTCAAAAGCTTTTCCCACATGTCCTCTTCATCTAAATAACGTAATGCTACTATATTATTGATGAATAGAATTTTTATTTCATGAGAAGAACCTTATCAGTTGGATAAATTTACACAAATGTTCTTTTTTTTGCATCTGAAAGTCATGTTGTCAAAGGAGCCTCTTACCTTGCAATATGGGATGAAAATTTTACTCTGGTGCCCATTCCTCATACATTTTGGTGGAGAAAGTAAGCTGAACCAGCAACACCTCTTTGTTGAACTTGTTTTTTTCACTCTTATCCACAGTTATCTACCTCTTGTTGATACCTTTTGGATGGGGGCAGAAAGAAAAAGGAAATATGCCTATCTAGGTTTATTCTTTGCTGAGAAGATAAATTTATGCAATTAGACAAATTCAATTTACATGTAATTTGAAAGCTTTATTTTATAAAACTTCTGATTTGGATACATATATAAACTGTGAATATATATATATATATATACCTTCTTCAAAATTTTGATGTAAAGTAAAAACGTTCTTGAAAAAATTGCTGAAATCATCCTGCATTGATTTTGTGAATTGTATCAGAGATGTGAAATTACAATAGTTACTTTGAATAAGTTTGATTTTACTCTATAAACTTAGAACTATGTATTTGAATGAGGGCTTTGTAAAAAGTTTGGAGTATTTATTGCTGTAAGTCACTTAGCATTTCTAGAGGGAGCTCAGATTTGATTTTCTCTTTAGAACAACATTGGCAAGATGGGAGTATTTAATTGTTTTTCTGCTTTTCAAAGAACATAAAATAAACTGTGGCAGATTGTGAACTAAGTACAAGAGGAGCTTTCCTTGTGAATTAAGGTCAAGCTTCCTAGTAAGTGGATACCTTTTAGATGCAATTGAATATCAGTGTGAAGGGCCCTTGAGATACAAGAGTTATCCCTGCTTCATCGCTTCCTGATTTCTTAAGGGAAAAATTTCATTTTCTTTTTGAAAATAACTTCACAGATCAGACTTTCTGAAGCTTTTCCAGTGACTCTAGTAGCACCTGTTTACCTTCCCTTAACGTAGTCATCACATATGCTTAATCTTAAGAGACCATGTAAAACAAGTCATGTACTTGTTAAACAATGTCTATTAAACCCCTGTCACACGTAAGGCCTCTTCAGGGCACTTAGATCTTGAAAAATGTACCCAAATTCCCAGCATCTTTGATCAACAATCGTTTGTTTACACAGGTACAGTAGGTTCTATTTCCAAAGAGTTAACTGGAAAATGGGACATTTAAAATTAAATTCCCCAAGAAATATAAAATAGTATATTGTTTGGCATTAATTTTTCTCTGGGATGGAAAATACATTATGAAATATGGGTGGGTACCAGATAGCTTTATTTTGTTGTTCCTGGAGTTTTNTCAGTTTTTTTCCCTTAATTGTAGGAAAATCAGACACATCATACATGCCATATATAGCTCCAAAATATTTTTACTAATATGACAGGTTTTTAAACTATGTTTAACTGTTAGCTCGAATGTAGAGGCTTAAATTCCACAAGAAATGTTGGCAGTGATTTCAAAGTATTAGATTATGTAAACCATGTGGTTGACAGAATTCTGATTCTCAATAATTATATTTCAAAATAGGGAATATTTCAATGATTTTTTAATCTAATATCAATAAAATGCACCAAAGTAGATCTTTCACCATCCGTAATATTATATAAATATACCTGGCATCATGTGTTTTTAGGAACAACTATTTTTTTTCTGTTAATTTACATAGGTAGGAAAAAAAACAAGTGTTCTCATAGATAGTTTAGAGAATATTTGACAAATAAAAAATTTTCCTTTTGAGATGTATATGCTATTTTCATTACAAAGTTCTCTCTGATGTACAGAAATTGCTCCTTGTTGCGTTTCAAACCCTGAAAGAAAGGGAATTTGCTTGGCTCAGTCTCACCAATAAGTAAACTTAACCTGGTGATGCTCCTTTGTGGTAGTAGCAGGTTTTAATCACTTTTTTTTTCTTTTTTTTTTTTTTGTAGAGGGCAGTGTCACTGGCTCTCATATGTGGGATCCGAACCGGGGCCCTCTGGCGTCCCAAGCCAGCTCCCATCCAACGCGCCACTCGGCCAGCCCTAATCACTTTCATATCATCAGTTATACTTATGTCCAAACACTGAAACTAACAAGTGTATTTATATTAGTTGCATGAAGTGCTCATATTCATTAATATATTTTAGAAGCTTTTGGGTATCATAAGCTTCTGTTAGATTTTCTACTTAACTTTAAAATCAGTAACCTAGATTTTTTTTCAACACATTCAACGTTCATAAAACTACTGCTTTGTAAATTGTTAAAATTTTTCATATTGTTAGAAATTTTTATTAGGTAAATAATCTGGAGATCGGGCCGGCTGAGTGGCTCGTTGGTTAAGAGTTGGCTTGGGAGCGCGAGCTTTGAGCAGCAGGGCCACCGGTTTGGATCCCACATGGGCCAGTGACGTTGCGCCCTCTACAGCTAAGATGGTGAACAACAGCTCGACCTGGAGCTGGGCTAACATGAGTCGCCGACAATGGTGTAAGCCGCAGTGGGGCTGGCTGGCAGCCAGCGTGAACTGCCGTGAGGTGCTGTGAGCCACCGTGAGCGGCCATCTAATGGCTGGCGACTGCTCTGCCTCAGCTGGGAAGAGTGCAATGATCACAATACCAACATGGGCCAGTGAAGCAATGTCCTTCACAACTAGACTGAAGAACAAAAGGACAGCAACTTGTCTGTTACCCTTCCCCGATTCCCCAACACTGTTCTGTCCCCCAATTCTCCAATAAAATCTTTAAAAACTAAAAATAATAATAATAATAATAATAATCTGGAGATAGATATCATTAAGTAACTTCAAAACAGTAATTATAAAAGTGAAGCACACTGTCCAGCCACAGGATGATTCTAGGATGTCAGAGATAATTATTAAATCCATCCCTGTATATTCATTTTTATGTTTAAATTTAATGGACTATGAAGAGTACATTTAAATAGCACATCAAAATAGTGTTCTAGGTGAGGATAGAGAAAAAATGATTTAGAAAAATATTAGTAAGCAATAGTGTAAATGATATATGATTATATTTGAGGCTAGAGAACATTGCCTTATAAGATTGTGAAACTTTGAGTACAGTTCTTTGTAGGATTAATATCAAATTGTATATGAGATGTACATACAAATGGTTATATTTCCTGTTTATAAAATGATGGAATACTATTGATTTTTTTTTCTTTCTTGATAGCAATATCTTGAGTTACTTACATGTGCCAAGCACTCTTCTTAGTTCTTTACAAATGTTGTCACAGTTTGTCTTCAACTGAAGTCTACAAAATGAGGAAAATGAAACTCAGAGGCA